TTTTCAAAAAAAAAAAAAAAAAAAAGCAGCCTCATGCTGAAGGAGCAGGGCAGGGACATAAACCCAGGTGCATTTCTTCAGCTGTTTGCATATGGCATCTTTACCTCAAAGCCCCCACAGAAGACAATCCACTGCATGCAGAGTCAGATTTTAAGATGTCCTGTAAGAGCATGGCCCTCACCCAACAAGGGAATAACCCTGCCAGAGAGTAGTGGCACCTCTTCATGAGTACAGCACTGACCCTACAAAAAGGTAATTTTCCCCCGCCCCTTGTTTATAGCTGGACTGCTGAAAACAGGTTATGTGGTGTGGATAGTAATTAATTTCCCCTTGTGCTCTGTCAGAGCCCAAGCCGGATCATTTGGAAGTTGGAAGACCTTTTAATTTAGGCAGGACTGCAGTAGGTGGGGTTGCATTCTGGGCGTCTTGGGAGGTTTTTTTCAATTATATATTATTTTAGTTTAACATTTTTATTTGTCTTCATAGTGTATCTGGTTTTTATTGTAAGCTGCCCTGAGCCTCTTTTGAGGAAGGGAGCATGCACATCTAATAAATAATATTAATTTGTAGGCCACATGGCTCACACAGGGTCAGGAGCTGCTTAATTAGGGGCAGGTGTTTGTGTACATTAGTGACATGCATGTCCAGCATGCACAGACACATGCACCTCTGACATACCTGGTAAGGCATGATGTACACATGTACATCTCACATTCACATGCACACATCCAGCTGCCTCTAAAACAGTGTCATGATTCCATCTCCTACCCACAGGATTCTCTGCAAACCTCTGGAGCCTTTGGTTGAGTTTTTTGTGGGCCGCAGACTAGAAGGAGTTTTAGAAATACAATGCTCTTCACAACTCTTCCCCTGGTGCAGGGAGTCAACGGCAGATTGCCCATTTCCTAAAAACCCCTCATCACAGGAATAGGATTTCCCCCCCAACCATAAATTTGACACCAGGGCAGCTGGAAATCTCTAATCTCCATGGTTACTGAGACAGTCATTGCTGGGGAGAAATGGGCCAAGTGCCAACATGCTGGGTTTGGGCACTGAAGTGGAATCAGCCCCTCCCTGCAACTGCAACATGTACATCTGGTCCCTGGCACAGAACCAGCAGGGCTTGGGTGATTTGGTGTGCATTACACCCTCTGCACCATCCTGCTGGTTACTTATGGGCTTGCTAGTATAAGCACTGAAGTCAGTGAAACTGGGGCTCCAGGGATAAAAGGGCCCATGCATGTTGCTTAGAAACTCAAGGTTTTCTTCTCAATTTAGAGGGAGAGATGGGAGAATTGCCAAGCAACTGTCAGGGATCACTGCTTGCGGGTGCAAGTACATCCCTTGCCCCCCCTCCCCCACCTCAGTAACAAGCACAATCCCCTGTCCATCTCTGGCTCCTCCATCAGAACAGCTCACAGGACCGTGTACAGTATCAGGTTCATTACCCAGGGGGTAATGTAGGGAAAGAGGTGATGTGAACTGTCCATAGCCATACCAATGAGCAGAGATAGAAATGGAACCCAGAGTCCTGGCTCTTTGCCTTCGGCTTCTGTGACCCAACCACATTCTCTGCTGGAAGTGAGAATGCAAACCAGGAACCCTGCCCTCATTCCTAGATCACACTGCCTTCCCTGAACTGGGAATAGAAGCCAGGAGCCCTGGCTCTTAGTCAAACTGTAAGAGCACATTCCTTCCTGGTGAAGTGACTTCTCCTGGGTAGGTAACTGTCCACACCAAAAGGCCCTTGGGAGGACATTTAATGTAAACAGAAACTTCTAAGGTTGATAAATTAAACAGACAACTGCAGCTTTAGCAGGCAAGGGAGGTTTCTTCCTGGGGCCACAACTGCCTCTGAGCAGAACAACAAAAGAATGCCTACACCGAGAGGATGCAGCTTGGGGGGAGCAAAAGACGCTGCTTTCCATGTCTCTTGATGATCTGAGAGAGCAGGGGACTTCTCCCTGCTTTATGTAACACTGCACTATCAGTTCATGGGTCCAGTATCTATGTGGATGGGAAAGGCCCCTCAGTGCACTCGGGATGGCTCCAGCATGCAAAAGTGGACCAAGGATGTGACCCAGTAGAGAAGATCCCAGCATCTCTCAAACTAAAAACTAGAGCTTGAGACAGAAGCATATTATAGAGGAGCACCTTGGCCTCACTCACAATATTGGTCAGATTGTGCCCAATGCACCCCTCATCCTTGTGGACTAAGAGGAGAGACATGAAGTAAAACATCCTTTTTATTTCAATGGCAAAAAAAAGAACAACATCCAAACCGTCAAAAATGAAAAGCAACCAGAGTGCAGGCCGCTGCCCAGGCACTCAGTCTGCCAGAACTGGCATCCTAACAGAATTACAAAAATACAGTCCAAACAGTGTCTAGGAGACAAGAGACAGGTATTGCACAGAATCGCCTCCCGCTGCAGATAGAACTACCAAGTGCTCCCCCCACCTTGCAGGAAAACAAGCTAGGCTTGGAATTGCACAGCAACTCGGTTCAGGAATGTGGGCACACACACACACCCAGGAACTGCGGGGGACAGCATGTGCTTAAACTATCTGCACAAAAACTAAGGTGTTCTAAATGAGGAGCAAGCAGGTGTGCTTGGGGTGTAAACGTTTCCAGGCTGGACTGCACAGTCCCACGCAGGGAGTGCTGTTTATACAGTTCAAAAGACAAGTGTCTGTCCTGCTGCCAGCCAGATGACCTGACCCCATGGCTGTGTTTGTGTAGTGAGCAAGAAACAGAGATCTACGCATCAGGAAGCATCCTCCAGCACTGCCTGACGTGGTCAGCAGCCCTGGGGTTCAGAGCCACTTTCTTCTTTAATGCACAGTATCAGGCCCATGCAGGCACCCCCACCTCTCCAACCCTGGCAGCCTGCTCACACTGTAAACTGGGACTTCCACTTCTCCGGCCTGCTCTGCTGAGCGTAGGTTACATTACAGCAAAGCTGGGTGACATTATAGTAAACTGTGAAGCAGCCTTCAGCCGTGGGGGGGTGGAGATAGGTTACTGGCATGCTTGGCCCTGGGGATGACAGCTAGATGCAGGCCATCCTCCTTGACCTTCTTCACAGAACAACTGTTGGAATGCATTGCTGGTCTCCTGCTAGTCTAAATCTCCCAGTCCTCTCAAACTATTAAATTTCTCATCCATCTAGGACTGTGCCCACACACAGGCTCCTGCTGTGTGATTCTGTGTTCAGCTGAAGAGTGGCAAGGTGGGCATGGCAAGTTCACACGCAGGGGATGTGTACATGTGCACAGGCTGGGAGAGAAGGGGATGGAATCTCTGCCAGCAGCAAGGCCCCCGAAGTCCCTATCATAGCAGCACTGATATAGCTGGCTAATGAAAACAGGCCTGGAGGACAGATGGCAACAGATAGCTCCATGCATAGGCATAGCTCTGGGGCCTTCCAGGCCCTGAACCTGCCCCTACTCCAAGGTGCTAACCATTAACTACCAAGAACAAGGACATGAAAAGGAAATTCCCTTCCATCTGTAAACAAAACAGGTGGGGTCCTAAAGCATGTCAGCGCTGAGCAAGCCCAGCTCTACCTCTCACCCCAAGCCAGGGACACGCCAGTCCCCATTGCCCAAGACATGTTTCTGAGCACCTCCAAGGAACACAGCCCCGAAGAAGGCTTGTTGGGACGGGCTTATGTCCCATCTGTTCCAAAACGCAAGCTGGACCCCAGTGGCCCTTCCTGCTTGTTTGCTTGTGCCCCATAACCCCCTGAACTATAAGTGTAACCCCCTGAACTACTCCTCTCTTAGCCTAGGCAGGTCTGGTATTGTACTTTCTGCTCCCCGTCCCAATACTCCTAGCCACCACACTGGCAGGGCCACACTTGCTCTGATACAGCAGACCCAGCCCCAGGCCAGCTGGCTCCTCATTCAAGATGTCTGCGAGGTCCCTGAGAGAAGAGCTCCCCTGGACCAGAGGAACAAGGGGCATTGGTCTGGAATGTGTTGGGCAGAACACAGTGCCCCTGCTGTGGACAATGCTGCCTCTGCCTGGGATCGGGGTCATGTCCAGGAGTCAGCCCCCTCTCCCACCACCTCTTTGTTTGCTTCTTTTCTAAAAGAAGGTGAATAAAGTGCCCAGAGCGGGAGGAGATGGGAAAGGTGCCTGGAGCACAGCAAGAGCACAGCTCTGGGCCACTGGGAGGGGCTGCTTATGAGCCCAAAGGCAGGCAGCCAGAATCTACTCTGTGGGAAAGGCATGGAAACAGGGCAAGATTATTCAGGGCTAAACAAGGAATAAAGTGAGGAGGAAGTGAAGCAAAGGGGCATGGAAGCTGACCCTGCGGGGACACGCTGGCAAAGGGAGGCAAAGCTGAAGGTGAGGCAAGAATGTCATTGCTGAGGTCCTGGGGGCTTGGGGCTAGAAGGTCTCTTCTATGCCTTCTCTCTCGAATCTGGCACCCTCTGTCCCTGTGTGTTCCTGTCACGTGCTCTCTGGGTCACTTCCCCACAGAAGGAGCCTCAAGGCGCACCCCAACCCCAAGCTTCCCTGACACCAGTGTCACCGGGTGCAGGGAGGGGAGTCTATACTAAGATGAGAGAAGCTCCCTTCCCATCCTGGCAGCCTCTTTGCTGGATAAATGGCACATTTTATACCCATGTTGAGCTTGCTGCTGTTCAACAAATTAGAACCATGTGCAGCAGGGAGGGGAGGCAGCATGTGAGAAAGGGGAAGGGAAAGAGGAGAGCTGGGTTGGGAGAGGGCTTGGTGGCAAGACAAGCAAGTCTTGGGAGACCCAGGCATGTTGTTGAAACTGTTGCTGCAGTAGGCTCCAGACGAAACAAGGGCCAAACTGCAGATCAGTCACTGGGTTTCACTCCACACTGGATTCCCTCCGGCTTCAGGTTCCTCACATGGTTGGATGAACCCCCAGGACAGAGGTCAAGAAATAAAGGGAGAAAAAGTAAGAGTAGGGGACCATAAATGACTGAGCTGCCACAAGGACAGGACACATGAGGCTGGGCTCCCTCCATCACGGGACTCACAGCATCCTGCTGAAACAAAAGCAGGCAGCACCTACTATCTCCCAAACTCACAACAGCTTCTGGAAATCCTTTTGCCTGGCCATCAGAGATGGGGGCAACAGGCAGAGCAGGTCTCAGGTAACCGCCCTGCATATTCTGGTGGCAGGCTCCTGGAACCAGTAGGGGGCAGGCATGGTTTGAATGATAGCTCCAGTGGACAGGCAATATGTGGTGCTATGAGGTGGCAAGGAGCTGGATGCCAAACTGCAAATACCCCTGAAGGACTGCGGAGGGGATGTAGCTGCCTCTCACCTGCAGGGGTAGCACAATGGCTCCTGTGGGAAGCAGGGGCAAGACAGCTGCTGGAGCAAAGTCTGTCTCTAGTGCGGGGAATGTGGTAGGCAAGGGGGTACCTGGGCTCTAAGTCCCAAACACCCACCACACAAATAATAAATACAGTCCCAGCCAGGTCTGGGATACAGCCGCTGCCTCCTCTTCTTCCTGGGACTGAGCTGAGACTCAGGAAGGGCTAGGCTGGGCCTGCAGCTCCACAGTCATCTTCCTGCCCTGCCCACACTGGCAGAGGCATTGGTTAAGGCACGCTGAGCACTACACAGCTGTCTCCTGATCCTCCCGCTGGATCATCTGGTAGTGCTGTCGGTTTTCGAGGTAGGCAGCCAGGTCAGGATCATTGGCTTTCTCGGCCCTGTGCTTGGGGGTGTCTCCCTGTGCAGCAAGGGGGAGAGAAGGAAGGGGGAGCAAAAGGAAAAAAAACAGACCTCAAGTCAGAGACCTCCTCTGGGTGACAGAGGTGACCACTCCCTGCTGCCTGCACCCCCAGGACATCTAGATAACCAACCCCTAAGTGTGTTACTGGCTCCCCTCAGTGCCCAAACACAGACAGAGAGCCTGGCAGCCTCCAGCTGGGGGGTCCTGATGCCTTACGGCAAGCAGTATCAGCTCATGCTCTGAGCTCTAGAGGTCCTGAGATGGCAACTGCCACCCTCATACCCCCTCCCCTTTTCCATGTTAGCCAGGTCACTGGCTTGAGAGCTGCTGTTACTCCTTGGGCGAGGGCAGCCTGCCTGGCAGAGGGCTCAGTTCACACTCTCCTCTCAGAACAGTCTCTTTGACCAAAGTCTGCACCAGTATTGCTATGCTGCTTTCTTCTGTCCTTTCCTTGCCCAAGACACTTGGGTCCCTGTCCTACTAACCCAATGACTCCCTCTTTATGGTAATGTGGTATACAGCCTAGCAGCAGTGCACCCTCAGCCAGTGGAGGTGTGCAGAGCCCAGAGCCAAATGGGGGCGGATGGAGGTTTGGTTACAGCCTGGGTGAGGCTCCCTGTGGGGCACAGCACAGGGAGTGTAATGTGGTGAGCAGGTCTGTCACAGGGCGAGGGAGAAGCACAGCTGGGTGGAAGAGCTGCCTGCCTGAAAGGTTCATTAGACTGGCCTAAGCTATTGGCAGGCAAGTTCCAGTAGAGCTGGTTTGCCTAGGACAGAGCCTGGCTGATACCCATTCTTCTTCCCACTCCCTGCACAGAAAGACAAAGGATTTGACTCTGACCTGCTTCTTCTTCAGCTCAGCTGAAGGCAGGCAGGAGGGAAGGGGGGAAGAGAGTCTGAGGGAAGGGGGAGGAGTGAGGGGTATGTCTGGGGAGTGCCCTGAAATACCAACACCGCCCTCCCCCCCTGCTCTTAGTCTCAGTCTTACCAATGCTCCCGCTCCCCGAGGAGGCTCACATTTCACCAGCTTATTGCAGCCATCTGGACTGTGTCCACTAATGAACTCCCGCACTCCATAAAAAGCAAATCTGTTAACAGCTTTCAGCTCCGTCTCCACACTCCTCCCTTCCCCCCTTCTCCTTGCTCCCGCTCACTCAGTGCCCTGGCTCTGTCATGCTGAACAAACCCTCTGCTGAGAAAGGCCAAGGAGACCTGGCACTCTGCCCCATCCTCTGAAAATAAACTCCTAAAAAGCAGTGCATTGCACCCGCCTTGGCCCTCAGAGCTTAGCAGGGCAGCTGCAATGAGGAAGGGAGGGGAACCTGAGGCTCCTGGACACGACAGCCCCTGTTTAGATTTCACTTGGCTTCACTAGGCCTGGACACTCAGGGGCTCTCCCCTAAGGGCAGATAGAGTTGAGAACAAAGAAACAAGCCCCCATGTGCTCAGGAATGCAGAGGCACACAGGCAGATAGACATGGCATGCATGCACACACACATGCATGCACCCAGATACACGCAGTGCTGGGTATAAGCTGGCACATTAAGCTTTGCTGTCCCATGGCTCTGCTGGGGGCTTCCCCTCAGCCTCTGAGGAATCTCTGTGCTTGCTGAGCAACAAGATAGACTCAAGCCCCTTTCCTGTCTGCCTGCAGAATCCCTGATACAGCACCGGCTGCCTAAGCCAGCAGAGGCACAACCTGAAACTGGAGCTGAGAGGGCCCCCTCTGCCCAGCAAGACTGGAGGCTGTAACATGATAAAAGCCCAGCCCAATTCTCACTCAGTTTACTCTGCTGGCACTGTACAGGGCCAAACAGTACCTTGAACTCGCTGCCCACCTGGATTATAGCATCGGGGCTGATATATGGTCCCCATACCAGGAAGCTGCAACAGGGGGTCAGCCCTGCAGTGCAGATGGGCCCTTAGACAGGCTCAGCTCCAGATGCACTGGTATATAGATACACACAAGCTCCGCTCCCCAACCCCTGCAGCCAGGCATCCACTCACTCCCTTTGTCACTGCCGGCAGTGGGGCCCATTCACCTCCCAGAACAAAGGGCGGAAGCAGAGGATTCCATGCTTGATGCCAAGACCCCCCTGTGCTGTGACTTGGGCCAAGTCCTCCTCCCCCAGCTCCCTCACCTGAGCACTCCTCCTCTCTTCCTAGGGCCACACCCTGCCAGCAAAGCCATTCTTGCTCTGGGAGCATCACAAGGCTAGAAGTTAGGAGGGTTGAGCCCTTGCCAGGGATTATTTGTAAAACACCTCCCTGGCAGCTGGCAAAGCTGCCAAGGGGGTGTTTTATTGTCTGAAACTTTCCAAAGCTTTTGTAGGCCAGCAAGCTTGACTCCCCAGGTGGGCTGCCCTGCTATATCCCAGCCCCTGGGAACCACCAAGATATGATTGCAGTTTCTTGGCTATGTACCAACTCCCAAGAACACCCAGGACAGAGCTGCCACCATGTCTCCTCTATCTTCCCCCAGCTCAAGGGAACCTCTGACTTGGAGACATGGCTGCATGCCCTCCAACAGAGGCCAACATCCCTGGAAAGTTCTCTCAAAACAACCTCCCCACCTTCGCTACAACTCGTCTGGCACTGGCACAAACTGCGCCGACTGACACACCAACCAACCTCACAGTCCCCAAGGTCAGGCTGAATTAATCCCTCACAGCACTGACTAAGCCTGAGCTGTTTGATACCCACTTGCTGCTCTCTGTAGACCAGGCAATTCTAAAAGTGCTCCTTGCCTTCCTGCATATCTCCCTCCCCTCCCCAGCCCCTGGTTCCTGTTTGGGAGAGCCTGTCTGCAGCAGGGAGGGGCACTCTCTGGTGAGACTGTCCTTGCAGTGACCTCGGAGGGTGGGAAGGGGGAAATGAGACATTCCAGCCCCTCAGCCACTAATTTAGAAAAACAACACAGGCAGCAGGGAAGAGCAAGGAGACATGTTTAACCCGCGCGCAGCCACGGGGTTCTGTTGCTGAGTGGGCGAGCAGGGCAAGGAGAGCTCAACTAAACCACCGGGGAAGCCCCCAAAGCTTATCCAGTGAGAAGCCGATAGGTGCCTCACTTGGCTGGGCCCCAGAAAATGTGCTCACATTCCTCTCGTGCTCCTCTGTTGACCCCATCAGCTAACACCTTGTGAGACCCTGTCCCAACCCTCCCCCAGCACCCCAGTAAACCCTCACTCATTCCCGTCCCCCACTGCCAGCCCATCTGCACTTACTTGCAGGTCCGTTTTCATGAGCGAAGCCCCAGCCTCCACAATGTAGTGGCAAATAGTGCGCTGGCGCAGGGCAGCAGCCTGATGCAGACTGGTCTCACTGCTGGGAAGAAAGGACACAAGAAAGGAGTCAGAGCCTAGAGGAAGCAAAGGATGTCAAGCAATATGCCTAGGGCCAGCAGAATGGGACCCAGGACTTGGGTCAGGAGTGGGAAAGGGATTCACAATGGGTCATACTGCTTCTCTTGTGAGCTCTGCTCCCACCCCTAGGCTGGTGGAAAACCCAGGGTCTGGAATGATTCAGCCCAAGCCTGGTACAGAAATGTCAGCTGGGTCCAGGAAGGGTCCAGCATACTGGAAACCAAATAGAAGGTCTGGGCAACAAACACTATAGACCAGGCAGCAACTTACTTCTTTTCTTCTGTTGCATCGAGGATCTCTGAAGGAGCTGGAGAGAGAAGGACCAATGCAATTAGGCCAGTCTGGTGGACACATGCCCCAGTAATACACAGTGCAGCTCCTCCCCTTGCCCCACCCCCACGTCCCACTTCAGGGCTCTCTTCTGATACCTGGCAGTGTCCCAAAGCAACTTAGCAATGTGATAATACCCGAGGCATTAGCCACTAGGATCCTGACCAAACTACTAAAATCTGGAAAGGGGAGTTGTTTCTGGGCCCCAACAGAGAAAAACGTTGAAGAAAAACATCTTTCATTTTGGTGAGACCACCAAAAACCCCAAAACCTGTGCTCTCCCTGTTGGCACTAACAGATAAACTTTCCAGAGCTGCACAGATACCAGGAGAACCTGGGGAAAGGGGCTGATTTCCTTCTTTCCTCAGAAACACACCAAACACTGCAGGCCAGATCCTGGCCTCAATTTCCTCACGTGGTCTCCATGAAGCCAAGGGCAGCAACACATGGGTCTAATTGAGGCTGAGCCTGGCCTTATGTTTAATAGAGGAAACCCAAGTAAGAAGATGACATGGTGCAGGGAAGGGAAAGAGAGCAACAGACCCAGCAAGAGAGAGTAAGAACCCTGCACATGAAAGCTAGGAGCAAAGAGTAAAGGGAGGCTTGGAGGATCCAGACTCCAACCTTTTCTATGCCAGTCCAACAAACTGCATCTCCCTGCTGAGTTGCTCTAGCAGCAGGGCAGCTGTCTAGGACTGACTCACCATTCTCAATGATGTACTTGACAATGTCCTTGCTCCCTGACTTGACGGCAAGGTGCAGGACTGTCTGACCAGAAGAGTCTCGCACCATCAGGTCTCCTCCAGCCCTGTGCAACTCCTGGAACTACAAGACCACAAGATGGTTTTGGATTAATTTTCCTTCTTAGGGCTCCCCTAACTTCTCGCCACCAAGGCACCCTGCTCTACCTGGCAGGGCTGGCCTTCACCAGCGCAAAGCTACCAGTTACCCAGATGTTCTACATGGGTGAGAAACTGAACTGGTCTCCAGTTCAGCCACAAGCTACAGCTGCCTTCATCTAATGCCACATGTTCCACCCATCTCAAAGCAAGCTTCCTTGTTGGATCACTTCCCCTGGTACTGCATGTGTACCATGCTGTCATAGCTGGGGCTGGCAGGATGATTAGGGAGCCTGATTGGCAGGCACCACTCGGGTGCCTCAGAAGGGAAGTTCACACTATGCTGGGGTCCTAGCCAGCTGGAGGGGTTGAGGAGGGCTGCTCTGGGCCAAGATGCCACACCTCCAGCTCTTATGGCTGGCTTCCTAGCACAGGGCAGATCTTACCTTGCTGAAGTCACCATTCTTGGCAGCTTCTATCAAAGGGTTGTCTGCAAAGAGGAAACACTAATCAAGAAGATAGAAACCAAGCAGGGGTAGGCAGTGTCTGTCTGTGTGGGGAGACTGGTAACAGGTGCCATACAGGCTGCACTGGAGCAAATGGAAGCACTGAGGAGACAGCTGGAAATCTCCCTTTCTGCCCAAGAGAGCTTCCTTTCATTTCAGCCCCTCACTAGTGCAGACTGGGGCTCAGAGGCAGCTTCTGTGGCATACAGACATAGTGCAGGGCCCAGGGTTTGCAAACATGCTCTCCTGGAGCTATCCCACTGCTGGGGCTGGCAGGAGCCTCAGTGCTGGTTCAATCAGGGGAGCATGGAGCAGGTTACTCCAGCATTGCAGAGGGCTGGTCACTTCCCAAGGAGTCAGCAAGAGGCTGAAAGCTGTGCAGGGGTGGGGAGGGAACAGCAGTGGACCTTCTCACTGACAGTCTCTAAACCTGACTCCCTCAGGGGGCTACTGGCAGGGCAGCCCTGGAGTGCACATCAGCCAGGTTCTGCTTGGAACAGAGTGCCTGGCGAGGGGCTCGGCTTCCCAGTGCTGGCTGTGCTATGGCAGGCAGGGAAGAGAAGAAGAAAAGAGAGGGGGAGACTCCACAGGGATGGAAGGGAACAGATGGGAAAGGGAGAAACCCTCACTTTCCTACAGGCATGGCCAGACACCAGCTTTGGCCAGGCAAGAAGGAATGTTTTCAGGCCCAGGGGAAACATAACTCCTGATGCAGAGGGGGAAAGAGTGCAGGTCCCCAGGGATGCAGCCAGCAGCCTGGATGCCTCTCACCAGTGACTCACTCACACTTCCAGGCACTGGGCTCTGTTCAAGCTCCAGGAAACTCTTTCCATTTGCTCAGCTGAGGGAGGCCCCTGACCCCATGCTCCCACCTCCTGAGCCCTGCTAGTGCCTGGCAGAGACAAACTCGACCCCCAGCAACCCAGCCAAAGGCGGGAGCTCTGCAGGTGGGAGATTAACCCTGCCACCATGTCATTTCCTGCCCTCTCCAGCTGTGATCTCTAGATTTCACAGGAGAGCTGGGGAAAAGCAGCTCTTTTGGGCAGCTCCATGGCTCAGGCAAATGCTTATGGGATCTCTCCAGCCAGTCTCTCTGGCTGCTTCCCTCAGGGGACCATCCTGTCCTGGGCCTACTTAAGCACTCTGCACTTCTGCTGCACCAGGGTGGAGGGAATGAGCTCTGCTCCTTCTGCAGGGCAGTACACCGCACAGTCCCTGACCCTCCAGACATGGGCTCTGTGTTGCTTGCACAGCCTGCAGGTTCAGGATTGGGTCAGGACCCCTTGAGGGACAGTACAATGTACTGCCTGCAGGGGCCAGGCTCAATGAATGGTAACCATTTCCCTTATTTATGGCGGTCTCTCAGGACACCTATTGTGTTTAGTTTATGGGGAAGAAAAGAATCAGGCTGAGGACCTACAGTACTTGAGACATGGCCATGGCAGCATGGGAACCTTGCTAGGGCAGGGTTGAAGGACTCACCTTTGTGTGTGGGGCCAACTCCTGCTTCTGAGCTGGAAGACAAGAAAGGAAAATCAATACTGTCAAACTGGCAGTGCTCTACAGCAAAGCAAACTCCCTCCTCACCCCACCCCACCCTTCTGTGTTGCCCTCAGCCACAGCTCCCACCCCAGCAACCTCTCTTGCTAGAAGCCAGGACCAGAGTAACTGGGAAAGCCCCTAAATCCAAACCCCGTCCAGCAGCTGGCTGTGTGAGGTTTGCTGCAGCTCTGCCGCAGGCGACAGGATGGGAGGAGGGACCAACTGAAGAAATGAACTTCCCTCAGGCAATTCTACCTGTCCCTTTCCTGACTTGGAGTCTTTCTGTTCTCTGCTGTGATTTTTTCACTTGGTTTCTTTCCTTACCAACTCCCTCACACACTCACCTACCTGTACCTATGCCTCTTCAACACCCCTCCCTCCACCCCCACTAAAAAAACCAACCCTGTACCCATGCCTCATGATCTGAGATTTATCTTCTACCCTGAGACATGTCTCCCCCTTGCCATATGAATTGGTCATGGAGAACAAGTTCTGGAGCCCGAGCCAACCCTGGCTTGATGAGGATGAACTATAGCCATGGGTGTGACACCCTGTGTAGCCCCACTGCCCTACATTTGCACTGGCTCAGAGTGGGATGTGTGAGGAGAGGAGGAAGATGAAGGCTGTTAGTCCTTCAGCCCAGTCATCTTTTGGAAACAAAATACAGAGAATTCCCACTTGTTTCACACAACTCATCTTACTTCAACTCAGATTTCCAAAGCCAGTGCCAGGACCACCCCAACTCCCAGTTCACTTCCCCACCCAGCCCCCGTCTCAACATGGCTAGACTACCCTCCCAGACTGGAATGGGCAGTCTCACCTGGGGGCGGGTGAAGAGGGTGGAGAGGATGAGGAAGAAGGGAAAGCAAAATGATGCCCTGTGGGTGTGGATGATGTGTCGACCAGGTCAGGCATGGCAGGAGAGGTGCCCACAGTCTGAGTGATCACCAGCTCTGGGTCTAGCACAAACAGTTCATCCTGAGAGATCTCTGTCACGTAGTTGAGGTGCTCCTGGAAGGTACAAATCAGTTTCTTCAGAAAGGGAAGCCATGTCCCACAGGCCAGTCCCCTCAACTCCCAGGAAAACAATTCCCCCCTGGAGGGGTAGGCAACAGCCCGTGCATCAGTGGGCTTGGCATGAGAGTGGAGCTGAAACAGGAGCTTGGCACAGCAGGAAGCTTCCATGGCAATAGGGCAAGGATGGGCTTAGCTTGCCACATGGCAGCCTTTGTACCATGGTCACAGAGGCCCAGACCAGGTGAAGTGCAGGTGAGCTGTGCATGTGTGGAGCTTTGGTGAGGAAAAAGCATCCCCTGGCCTCATCCAGTCCATTTCCATCCAGGGGTGGGGTAAGATTGCTCTCAGTGGCCTCCATCTCAGGGCTACGTCCAGACTCAAGCCCTCCCCCTTTCCCAAGAACACTTCCACAGCCTTACAGCCCTGCCACAGGACTCCAAATCCTGCCTCCTGTTCCTCGGTGGCAGCATCTTACAGAACATGCCTGCACCCTTGAGGGTTTACTCCAGGGGTTCCCAACCTTTTTAGATCACGGACTGGCAAACTGTGGACTGGAAGTGACCATGGACCGGAATTGACTGTGGACTAGTCTGTGGACTGGCAAACTGAGGCTCAGCAAACTGCAGTCCAGAAGTGACTAGCATACTCCAGAGTGGTAGCCAACCTTTTTATACTCAGTAAGAAAGGGTTAGTTGCTGTTATGCCGTATGCTGGTCACTTCCGGATTTCTGGTCCAGGAGCCAACCCTCCTGAGGACCAGGAGCCAACCCTTTGTGGACCGGTACTGGGCTGTGGCCCAGGGATTGGGAACCTCTGGTTTACCCTACAACCCCCAGGGGGTTTATTCCCCATGTCCAATGAATACCTGTCACTGAGCCATGCCACGTAGAGTCAGCTCCTAGTTTTTCCCCACAGGCAATGGTTCATTTCCCTGAACTCACTCCATTCCTCTTCTTCTTACTTGGGGCTCAAAGCTGAATGGTATATGACAAATGTTGGTCCCCTAGAACTGCACAGGAGGGAACTGGTTCAGGGCACTGAGGTCCCTGGGATTGGGAGACCCAGAGATGACCCCAGATGAGGTCTTGCCAGAACCACATAGAGGGACTAAACTCCTGCTCTAGTCATGAGACTTTTGAACACCCAGCCACTACAACTATTCTAGACTTTTCTAAATCCTTATTTTCTTGTAAACTCCTGTTTCATTTGGGCTATACCCCACCTCCTTTGCATCATTCCAGCAGCATTAAGGAAGGACCCAGAACCCAGTCACATTTCCCTCTAGGGACCTCTCCAATGATGCTGCTAGGGTAAAGGCACACCTGACTGAAGGAAAGGGCCTGTTTTGGTAAAGTTGCGTGCCAAATGCTTGGAGCTCTGACTCTTTTGGGCTATGGAGTGGCCCCTTGGGCACTTCTGCTTCTGTGGCAGTGGTTCACACCTTTTTAGACTTTAGGCACCCCTTGACAGGCTCAAGGCCCTCCTTGGAAAATGCCAGCTCTCAGTTTTCACTCATTTTTTTACTATGGAAAAATAATACAACAATTTTCCTGTTGCAGAGAGCTCAGAAAGGCCACAAAAAGGTCAGCATGTTTTTAACACTATGGATTCCTATTTGAAATCTCTGGGTTTATCTTGAATCCTGTTTGCACACCTAACAGTGCTAACATTGCGTGGCACCCCACAGCATCTTTGAAAAGATCTCAAGGCACCCTGAGGTGCTGCAGCACCCTGGCTGAGAATCACTGATCTATGGGTTAAGTTAAGAATAAGCCCTGGGGTGACTTCATTTTAGCCTGGGACTGACTTCATAGTTGTCCAAGAATGCAAGAAGTGCACAGGCCAAATGTGTTCATCGCCTTTGGTCACAGCTCCAGAGATCAGCTGGAAGCCCCACTCAGAGCCCCACTCTGCACTACATTGCTCCACCCAGCTCACTCTGCCAAACACAACTCAATTGAGCATGGCAAGACCTCACCCTACCCTCCCAACACTGCCTATAGCTCCCAAGGGCCATTGTGGTCCATATCCTTATGTGTTTTTCCCTCTCTTAATATTTCCTCCATTAATTGATTAGGGGTTGAAGTTGAAGCAGGGGAAGGTGAAGCATCCAATTCCCACTTGGTCCCAAGAGGGCCTTCCTACAGGGAACAGGACACCTTCTTCCAGGGGAAACCCACTTTACCAAAAGACTGTTATGTGATGCAATCCAATCCCAGGCTTTGGGCAATAGAGGTACAAAGCAAACTATGAAGCAGGCCTGATGCATGCACATGTATACGCTATGTCTAGTCATACGCCAGCACTCAAATGCCCTTTTCTTAGACAGCCCGTGTCCTTGTGGTCCTTTGTGAACAAGGCTAAACTCACCTGTGCACGGTCTATCCTGTAAAACCGATCAGCCGTAGTTGCTGCAAGAGAGAGGGAGACACTGAGAGAGTCCTGTCCCTGGAAACTGGTAAGGGACATAGAAATAGGGCTGGCCATGATCACTAAATTCTGCCACAGAACAGCCTGGGACTATCCCACCATGCTGTGTCCCACCCTCCCACTTCTTCTTCACCCACAGCACAGCAGGACACAGCAGTGGAAACAATTAACTATGAGGAAAGGTTGAATGAACTAGGATTACTTAGTGTGAAGTAAGTCTTCATATGCCCAAAGGGTGGTTATATGGAGGATGGAGATAGATTATTCTCTGTGGACACAAGTGACAGGACAAAAATCAATGATCAATTAAGCTGTAGCATGGGAAATTTAGGTTGGAGATTAAGAAGAACCTTCTCACTATGAAGATGCTTAAGTATTGGGACACGCTACCCATAGTGGTTGTGGAATCTCCTTCCCCCTCAACCATTTCTAAGAGCAAGTTAGACTTGATTGGAGATGGTTTAGACAGGGGTGATCCTGCTTCAGGCAGGGGGTTGGATGAGATGTCCTCATGAGGTCCCTTCCAGCTGGACTTTTCTCTCATGCTAACTCCTGGCCAGGAGCAGCCCAATTCGAGTCCCACAAGCGGTGCCAAAGACATGTCTATTCTCTTTACTGAGGTGCAGCCCTTGGGCCTACAGACCCCAGCATGCCATGCTCCCACTTGACAGAGCAACAGGTGCTTCCTTTTAGCATGCTGCCTTGATGGCTGCTGGCAGATACAGTGGAACATGGCAGGCTAGCACCCTGAGGCCCAGGGCCTGCCACTCTGCTGCTTCAGGGATTCCCAGGCCCTCAGGCCTGCCTGCAGGGTCTCAGGATTTTTGGTGCCACAGCCCTGACACTGATACTGTCACCTCCCACCAAGTTTTTGGGATGGCAGCCCCACACTGCCAGAATTTACTCTACTGCTACAAAATAAAGGGTAACTTAAGTGGGATCAGGGGGAAGCCAAGATGTGGAGGTTGGGCTTTTCCACTCTCTGCCATCATTGACACAGTGCTGCGCTGCTGTACGTTGGCACTGCTGACTGAGAGTCGCCATAACATCAGACCTTGTGTTTTATCACACATCATGACAGAGCATGTCTCCCAGTGGCACATGGGTGAGATGCTGGTCCCTGTTTCCAAGGATGACAGGACAGCTTGGAGCCTTCCCCCAACAGATATCCTCCCAGCAGCAGCTGAGAACCGTACCCAAGCAAGTCCTGAGGCTTGTCTGCCTCCTTCCTGCAACACCTGTTTCTCAGCCTCCCCCAGAGCCAGCTGGCATGGCAGAAGGGCCCTACCTATGTATTGATACTCTGGGGTGAGAGGGGTGGACGGGGCTGGGGGCTTCCTTGAGGGAGTGTTTGGGAAGTGCGTGTGAGTGTGCAATGCTGACAGCTCAAGGCCATGTCACAATCAGTAACTCAGGAGAGAAGAGGGGAAGTGGAGAGGATGGGGGACCTTTGGGACACCTTTCAGTGCTGAGCAAATGGGGGTGGGGAACAAGCCAGGGGCAGACATGTGCTCTGTGCTCCCCCAAGGGGTTGCTATGGCTGGGCCCTAAAGGGACCGGGGAATTCTCTCTAGGAATAGGGAGTGGGGGAGGGGTGTCTGTGACACAAGCCAGAGCAGATTAGAGGAGTGAAAGAGCCCCGTTTATCCTGTCCCGGCAAGAGATTTACAGCCATGGAGCTGCTGATGAAGGCCTGTAATTCAGCCACTTTAATGAGCCTGCGCTACCCCTGAATGCAGCTCTGCTCTCTTTCCTGACACATTTTCCTCAGCTTGAAACCTGCTGCTGGGAAACCAGCAAAAGGAAGGGAAATAATCCACAGCTTCAGTACCTGGGAGCAGGGACCCTGGGAGCGACACACACGGTGGGGTGTTTTTTCCCTTGCCTCCAACCCTCCACAGCTCAGGGAGATGCCATGGCTCTCAGGAGAGGAGGCTTGCAGCAAGGCCCACTCTTCACAGCTCCCCCTTCAGTGGCCAAGTTCTGGGGAGTTGTTTGCACACCTGAGAGGGGTGGCAGATCTGCTCCCACTGCCCCATTTGTTAGGGTGAGTCCCCTTCCTCCCCACAGGATCTGGGCCATGGCCTGTCACTGCCCTGCTCACCCTCAGGCATCTCCCCAAGCAAACCGCAGCTGGTCTGTCTGCAGTCAGGATCCCTGTGCTGTGCCACTGGAGCCCAGGGAGCTCTTGGTGCTGGCTGCAGGGCTGCTGGCGTTGAGGCTCAGCTGAGCGAGACAGGCCCTGCTGGGTGCCCCTGTGTGAGCTTCTCTCTCTGTGTTTGGGAACTCACTCCAGCACCATTACAAGGGCACAAAAGCCCCTATTGTCCTGGCCTGTGGGGGAGACCCAGGGAACTGCTCAAACTGAAGGAAAAAAAAAAGACACCAAAAATATGCCAATAAAAGCAAAGGCACAGCCTGGAGCTTTGGGAACAAAGTAACGACCCCTGGGGTGGGGGTGGAAAGGGGAGAAGGGGCTGAGAAAGGAGCTGAAACAAAGCCGTGTTTGTAAACAAGTCCCTGCTGCCCCGCAAAAGCCAAGCACTCAGGGACTCCGACAAACCCAGCCGGCTAAGTCAGAGGCTCAGCCCAACAGGCGCTCTCCAGTATGCAGCCCATAATTGAATTAAAGGTACAAAGGCATCTCTCACTGCAATGGGGACACTGCTCCCTACAGCCCCTCCTAGCGGAGAAGGACGCCACTACAGCAGCTCCCACACAGCTAAACCTTCATTACTACTGCCTGCCATGCCTCCAGTTTGGAGGAGCACGGACTAGCTCCCAGTTTTTGCCTCCCTTTGCCCCTGCCCTTCTGGCTCACCTGGACTTGTTGTTTTCCCAGAGCTGGGCACCTAGTTTAGTTCTTTGCTCCTCATCGTCACAGAGGATTTGTACAGAGCTAGCTTTGCTCACACGCTCTGTTAAAGGCAGAGCACTGTCAGAGGCATAACCGGCCTGGGCGGTGGTGGCACATGGCACTGATAGCAGTGACCACAGATTTGCTGCTGTAGGGGGGGATGTTGCCTCCTTTTTTTCCCTGCTGACACATATAGTCAGCGGCCACTAAAGCTCAGAGCCACTGTAGGGTGTGAGAGTGGTAATGGGGGACAGGAGGGCAAGGTGCCCCCAGCTCCATTCCTTGGGCTGTTACACTACTGAGCAGGGCTATCTGATGTCAGGAAGCTTCCCTTGGAAATAATAAAGAAGTCCCATGGATAGTCCTTCCCTGCAGATGGAGGAATGGTGATGTTTACTTCTGACTGGGGAAGGAGGAAGCTGCTTCCATGAAGAGAGAAGCAAACAACCTGTCACACCAGCAGGCACAGTTTCTGCACCAGCAGCAGCAACCCTGTGGATGGGCACAGGAGGGTCTTTCATGCTTTACAGCAAAGGAGTTTACAGAGTGAGGGAGCCCCCTGCCTGCCAGTCCCAGGCACAGCTTCTCAGCCTGATCCTGAAGCACCTCCTCCATGCACCCCACCATGGGTGGGTGTCATGGGCAGAGTTACACACTCACATGGCCTGTGACAAAGGGCATGGCTCTTGCTCTGGGACTAAGAGGAAGCGGCATGTTCCTCACAGCTCAGGACAAAAAAAATAAGTCACAGACAATCTCCTACCTGTGCCACGCAGACAGCACCACTGCCATGGGAATGCTGCTGCAGCATGACCCAAACCAAGGGAAATGATCTGCCAAGGGGGTACTAAACGCTTGGGACTCCTACCTGGCATGTGTCAGAGTGGCTCAGTGCTCCCTTGCTCTCAACCCTCTGCCAGGGGGGAGCCAAGCTCCTCCACAGGAAGGATACTCACCATCCAGAAAACACCACTTGGGCGACAGCTTCTGGGACGACAGTGCCTTTGGTTTGGCCCCATCCCCTTCCTGCATAAAGAGAACAGAGTCACATCTCCCCACTCCTTCACCTTCCAGGTCCCCCAGCTTTCTGGAGGGCTCAGAGGCTTGAAGTCTGGAGGCCCCCTTGATAGCAGCACTTTGCAAACTGGCATGGCATAGTGAAGGTCATGGGGAAGAGCACACAGCCATGGGGTCGAGCCAGACACAAACATACCAAAATCAAGAGTGAGAGGTCACAATAAAACTGACACTGTACTTGATGGACATGCAGGAAGGGGAAAGGGGCAGCAGGAGATACACACCTGGAGCAGCAGGCGGTGTAAAGCAGAGGGGCATGGAGGGAAATCCTGTGGAGAGGCAAGGTTCTGGGTTACTAGGTTCACTTGGCTGCCTCCCTGCAGTCCCACTGGGGTTTTGGCTGCATCCCTCCTGTACAAGGAGCCAGTCCCTGCTGCAACATACAGCCACTCTGCTCTGTGCATGCCCCATGCTATGGCCCCTCAGCAGGGAGCTGAGCTCTGATCTTGGTTAAGACTTGCCTCAGATGGAGACCTCGCCTACACTTACCTGGTTCTGCCCAGCAGTAGCTGCCACTGCCTGGCCACCAAGGCACATCCACATCCACATGCTTCTCACAACTCTGTAGCTTCACTGCAGCAGCTGTGCTGGCAGAGAGCACAATGCAGCCTGAGAAAGCATCAGCTGCTGAAGGGACTGCTACAGCTGACAGAAGCATGAAAGTGTTTACATGAGCCTTCTGCTGGCTGCTGGATGGTGGGAGAAGCCTTCTTTCACTTGGGGGAGGTGGTGTCACTCTGCTGGCATGGGAGGGGGTGAAAGGTTTTGCTGCCACAGAGGGGTGGTGAACACAGACACACTCAAAGCTTTGCCAACAGAACAACACAGGGTATATCAGACCCAAAGGAGAAGAAGAAGGGGAAAATGGTGGGAACCAAGGCCTGTGTACCTCAGACTATGTGCCTCAGTGCTGTGGCTTCACAGAGGACATCAGAAGCATTAGCCAGGAGAGAGACCAGGCCACTCATGGAAAACAGTGACCTCTTAGAGCTGTGAGAATGCCCTCAGGGTGCAGGGACCCAGCAAGATTTCTTAAGCCACTCAGGGCTGGTCAGAGTCCCTCCAAATGATTCAGAGGCAGTTTTTGTAAGTAACAACCTACTGTGTCAAATGCTACGTGATGAAGCATCTGAAGAAGTATGCTGTCTCTTATGAAAGCTCATGCCTCTTTGAACCAGTCAGTCTCTACGGTATCACTCTGCCCAGCTTTCAGCCCTCCAAGGGAGAAGAGAAGGTAGAAGCTAGGTTGCACAGCAGACCACAGTCTGGGAATATTAGAAGAGAGCAGGGGTGAGAAGGGAAGCACATATCCATGGGCTCCAGGCTGTGCTGGGGGAAGAGATCCCTGGGGATGATGGCAAGCAGGGGGGAACAGAAAGGGCTCCCCACTGTGTGAGATGAAAGCCTTCTGTTTCCGTCTGCCCAACCCTCTGTAGGAGGGTCAGAGAGCAAGGGGTGCAGGATGGGAAAAGGGGAAAGAACAAGGTTGATGGCAGCTGCCTGGCTGGATGGGATCACTGGTCCACCTAGCTTGGGATGCGTCTTTGTCATACTACGCAGACCAACCGTGTGATGCTATAACCAGGGAGCCAGGAGAACCCTTTCCTGACCCCCCCAACTACTTCTAAGGCCAGACTCCATGACTCACCTCATGGAGCTTCTCGATTTGGGTCCGACACATCTCAAGGTCACTGTCTCCTGGAACCACAATGATGCCTAGGGGCACCGCTGAAAGGCAAAGTGAAGACACCTCAGGAAGCAGTTGGCTGCCAGTCCTGCCCAGTCAGGGGGTTCCTGATGCCACCAACTCTGGTCCTAACCTCAGGCAGGCAGACAGACTGAGAACTGTACAAGATAGGGTGGGGCAGAACTGCACGAGGATATGACAGCTCCCAGCATGCACCTCCAGACCATGTGACATCCATATACTAGACCTGTGGGCAGCCCTGCAGGCCAGATGCTCCAGTGGCTGTTCCCAAGACCCCTGGGGTGGCACACTCCCGTAAGGCCCCAGCACCCTGCAACTATTGAGCTGGCTACTCACAGGCTTCCTTGAGCTTCTCCTTGTCGTAGTGAAGTGCCTCATAGTCATGCATACTGATTCGGCTCACCCGGATTCTCAGCCGTTCAGGCACGGGCTGCTGGCTGCACAAGGGCAGGATGAAAGAGGAAGGAGGTCAGAAAAAGATTCATCTGGAGACTGTTATTAGCACAGCTCCTAGCTACATCAGTCCAGCATGCCCCAACAGGAGACAACTTAGCGAGGAAGGAGGGAGGTCCCGTGTACTGCTTCTTCAGCAAGGAGTACTGGAGGCAGCATGTCATAAGCACTGGCATGGCAAGTTGGGGGAGACCTGTGGTGGGGCTTCTCTGCCAGCAGGTAGTGCTGTAGGGGCAGGGCAGGAGCACTGGCTGTGGAGGGGGGCTCTTAGTACCCAGTCCCAGCAGCAAGTCTGATGGTTAAGGCTGCATTTTCAGCAGCTGATTACTGCTGCCTTGCAGGCTCCCTGCACAAGTTTCTTGGGTCCCAGCTCCAGAGGTTGCTCTCAACCCAGCCTCAACAAATGTCAGCAGCTGAAGTTGGAAGACTCTGGAGAAGCCACCCAAAAGATATGTGCAAATGAGGCGCCTTGAATGGGCATCACCCTTGTGCCCTGCTGCTGTGGAGTGAAGGACCTGGGGTATTCCTGGGGATTGGAGTCCCTGGGCAGCCCTACGCCAAGCAAACGTACTCGTTGAGGAGGGGCATGGAGTTGCGTCGCTTGGTCTTCTGTACCATGTTGGCCTGGTTGCGCAGGGAGATGTTGATGGAAGAGGGTGCCAGTTTGCATGGCTCCCCATCCACCTGCATGGGAATGGCCTTGGATGTGGTGAGCAACACCTGCCGGCACTGGCACAGCCGCTCCCCATGTCTACCCATCTGCAAGGCAGCCTGCAAAGAGAGCCAGGGTGAAGGGACAGCAGGGACCATGGGGCTACTGGCCAGACTTCAGGAGTCCAGCCCCAGCCCCTGGTGGGAAGAAATCTCAGACTAGAACAAAACAGAACCCAGTTTGCTGTCTCTGCTCTGGGGAGGCCCCTCTTTAAACCAGGTGGATGGGAAGGCAGGATGGAGGAGGTAACAGAACCATACACACCTCCAGAAAATAAGGCAGAAAGTGCCTGCTGTTGTGTCCCAGGTGCAGGCTGGGGAGTCTGTTCTGGAGGGTGGCTCTGCTGTTCTGCACTTCGAAACGCCTATCCCTGGAAGAGGTGTCCCTGGCTCCAGACCACACCAAGCCAGGCTAACCACAGGCAGGAAGGTTCTGACTCCACAATCAAACAAAGCAGAATCTCTAACTGGGTTTGGAGGGTGGCCAATGGGACTGCTGGGACTGGGGGAGGGCTGTGTCCTCTTTCTCAGCAAGTGGGAGTAGGGACACAGGCCATAGCTCCCTAGGCTGCTACCCATGGTTGAACTGATTTACCAGGGATGTCATAGTGAAGCCGATGACCTCGATGCAGCCATCGTCATGGCGCTGGGGTTCAAAGTCATGGTGCTCCCCAGGGTTGCCCCAGGGCATGGTGCCTGCACAGTACCTGCAGAGGGACAAGTGGGGGGCAGAGTGCTACCTAGATCCAAAAAGGACCCAAGGCATGGGGCAGGTTGGGGGCGCATGGAGCCCACTGCTCGTGGGCAGGGGCTAATCACCTTGGAATGTTGAGAAAGACGAGGCACTGCGGTTTCAGGTCCTGGATCTTGGATGTCAGGTCTGTTCCATCACACTGAAATGCGCAGATAAAGCTGCTGTGGGCAAGGGGCCCAGCCCAGCTCATGTTCCCTGGGAGAATGGCTTCCCTACCGCCTCCTGCTCAAGGTGCTAGATCCTCTGTACTACAGGACAGTGCCTCCTGGGTGCTCTCAACGAATGCCCTCTCACCCACAAGTACACCCATGCTCTTAAAGGAACAACTCTGCTTGTGCACAAACCCCTCATGCTCCCTGTCCACCCCATGCAGACACTCACCACCAGTTTGACATGCTTTGCCAAGTCTTTGGAGCTCCCAGTAAGAAAATCAGAAAATGCCGTCTGCCAAACACAAGACACAAGGTTAGTTTCTAGAGACTCCATGGCCAAGTGGAGACCAGGAATGTGGCTGGATTGCACAGGCCCATCAGATGTTACTGGGTGTCATGCCAACCCCCTTCAGCTGCCAACATTAGGCAAAACCTCTTCCATTTCAAGGCACCTTGGCTTTGATCAGCCCCTTCCCTCCCCACCACCCTATAATACAGGCCACTGGATGCCTCACAGCTCTGCCGAGGCATCTCAGTCTCAGCTCACAGCCCCCTTGCCTGGTCCTGGCTTCTGGGACCAGCTGCGTTCTAGGACCAGGGTCTTTCTGATTAGTGTCACAAAATGCAACTGGCTTCTCTGGTTGTGAGGAAACAGGGTGAAACAAACATATTTGGGCCAATAAAGGGAAAAGAACTGGTGAAATCCTATGGCCTATGGAATGCAAAAGGTCAGACAAAGTGATTGTAATGGCCCCTTCTGGCCTTAGGGTCTATGAACAGGGAAGCAAGGCACCAGCCTCCTGACATGAACTGGGTCTGAGAGGGCACAAAACAACAATGGATCCTACCCAATCTGGAATAATGGATCTAGTAACACAGAGAGCTACACAGTCAGGGGGCTGCAATGGGACAGAGCTGCAAAAAGGCTAAAGCAATTGGGGACTGTATGTGCAGAGGCCTCCCATGTCACAATGCAAAAGGAGAGTTGCTTGCTATGGAACTCTAGGGAGGTCCTGTCTGGGATTCTGGTTTGAGTCCGAGTCCCTCAGTACAGGGATGAGGAGTTCAAAGAGGTGCTGAAGCAATTATTGCACGACAAGACCTACAGTTCTGCTACCCACTGCCCCACTCCCCATGCAGATGCCCAGAGAAAGCAGCTGGGGAAGTAGCTATGAGTAGATAGGAATGAGACAGGCAGGGCCCATCTCCTCTGGAGCCCCACGAACTCACCCCAGCATAGAACATTTTATTCCGAAACCGGCTGTTGAACTTCTCTGGATTGGCCTCTAGGGAAAGGAGGAATGAAGCAGCATTACTTACTCACTCCCAAGACAAACTTGGCCGTCTGTCTGCCCTGCCCTCAGTGGCTCCAGAGCCAGCCATCCCTCCTGTGCCCTCTCCAGTTGTCTCCCTCCATGCTCCTAAGTGGGCTCTCCCCCACCACACCTTCCATCTGCTCACATATGCTCTGCACACACCACCCAGTCAGACCCCCCAGCTTCTCTCCATTTGCTTCCCAGCCAGTTCTCCCCTTGCCACATCTCCCTGGCCATCCTTTTTTGTCCACTCCCCTGTGGTGAAGAAGCCCTTAACTACAAAGCTGATGCGTGCTGTTCACTCTCCTCACACTGGTCTGGCCTGGCCCTAATGTTTTGCAGAGGGTCCCAGACAGCCCTACCTTACCCCTAAGTACCTCGTGATTCGTGAAACTCTAGGGTCACACGTGCATCAAAGCCCAGGCTGAAATAGTTATTGAAGACGTCAAGGGGAAGCTGAAACAGAAGGAGAGGAAGGTGAAGCCAGTGACTGCTGAGAGATCCTGCTAGAAGCATGTACCCCGAGAGAGAGGCCACACTTCTCTGGCAACCTGGTAGCCACACACTGAGAGCCATGGCCAGCACAGTGAGCAGAGCAAAGCTGAGGGAGAAAGAGACCTCCCTCCTTTCCCAGGAAACAATGGTGGCCATGAGCCCAACAGCCATGTGTTGGTAGGGATGGAGCACCTCTTTCTGTTGCCCATAGGATAATTGCCCAAAAGGGTCAGCATGGAAACAGGTTCAGCATCCACAGAGGAAGTCAGGGTGACATATTGAGTCCAAATAACTGCCCAGGATGAAACAGGGTGGCAAATGTGGTGTAGGTGATGTTTTTCTTATGCCAGATGCATCAGGAGCTGGGGGTCCTTTGCCAGCCTGTCCTGCTTTCCTGAAAGCCTATGATGAATTCTTAACCTTCTGCTCAGGAGCCCTCAGGGGATGGAAAGAAAGTTTCCCAAGGGATCAGGGATGTCTCCGTTCCACCACTGTTGTTCCAACTGCTTAGCCCCTCTCCTGACAAGGATGCGACTAGCTTGCTGTCTGCTCCCACCATGACTCACTACACTAAGGGGACAGTCCTGTGAAGATGCCTTGTTCCCACAGCAAAATCTTCATCAAATCCTTGTGGTGATTTGCAGCATTATCTTAGTTCCAGCTACCACTCCCCCATACTCCACAGGCTAACTGAACTGTGAGAAGAGAATGCCAAAATTTGGGGTAGGGGGTGGAGATAGACAAACAGGATGATAGACACTGGCCCACTGACTGCTGAGTGCCGTCTGAACTGGGGACAGACAAAACATGCTTGCCAGGGGGCAGGAAGCCTGGGCACAGCTCAGATGCAGGGGGAAGGGTCTCACCTTGTCCGTGGCTGTTTCATCCTTCTCCTCAGGACTTGCTTCGGTGTTTGGCTCCACATGGAGATTCCAGCGGTCGAGCTGTACTATATTTCCATCCTCCACGTGTGACAGGATTTTTGACAGGGGCTCGTCTGTATAACCCTATAGGCCAAAGCAGAGCTCAATATACCAACAGGCTGGGGCTGTACCCAGAAAGAAGGGGGAGTGGGGCTGGGTCAGCATGCCCCAGAGCAAAGCACGATGGGGCAAAAAGGTAATGATATTTTAAAATACGTATAAATAATGAATCTTTAATTAAATACCTTTTCACTGAAAAATAAGCCCATTTAAAATTAAATTTGAAATTAAGACAGCCCATATGAAGGCCTAATAATTTAGATTAAATAAAAACACTCAAACAGTACATGTTTGCTGCCCAAGTTTTAAAACACTGAACTGGTGGAAATCATTAGCTAAGCAGCTGGAACCAAAATCTGTTCAAAGCATGAACCCAGCTTTGACAACAAGGGTCTCTTCTATATGTGCAGAAAGACCATTGTTTTTGCTTCAGTTTACTCAACTAGGTCAGTTCATTGACTAGTTCATTCAGAGTTGAGAAATGAAAAAGCAGGAAAGCCTGGCTTCCTTCCTTTTTCAAGCTCTGAATAAAAACGAGGTATGAAAGGATGAGATCTACTCATTCAAAAAATTTGAGGAGGGGGGCCAACAGAAGCAAACTATTCAGTTCAGAAGCTACAGATAAGACTTCCTTTGTTTAATAGGGCAGTTGGTTTTAAATGCAAAGCATTCTGATAAACTTGCTTTTTTTGTTCCTCGTGTATCCAGTACATTCAAGACTGTTTTATTTAACTGATTAAAAACAAAGAAATTAAAATGCTAGCTTGGGCATTTTTATTTGAATTCATCCAAGTGCTGCTTGATTCAAAAGACAAATAAAAATGAAGCATCTTTTAGTAGAAAAGGGCTGCATCATTTGCCATTTTCTAATGTAACAAAAAAAATGGAAACCCCCCCCCCCAAAAGGTCTGGTAAGCTATAAATTGCTTCAGCAAGTAGGCATAGCAATAATGTAGCTGAATGTACCAGCCAGAGAGAGTCAACATCCCTTTAGGAAAATAAAAATAAAGCACAAATGCCAAACAAGAATCAAGTAGATGATTTCAGTCACAATTAAAATCAGTGACTTAAATTGCTTACATTTAAACCAATCCACCAGCATAAGCAGGGCTAGGCTAGGTCACTAAGAGTGCAAACAAACATTGCACTTGTGTCACTATTATTATTTTTATGATGGCACAAAGGGAAAGCAAGCAGACATCTAATCCATTTGCTGCACACCACAAATGACCGAATTTGTGGAATTTGTGGCTCTGACAAAAGGTGGTAACAGTTTCTGCTGCTTTATTGTAGCAACTGTCTGTTTGCTTTATGGCAGAGAGTGTAGGCAGCCTGTGGTCTCCAGTCATCCCAACCAGGCACTCCTGGGCCTCCAGGGGCTGGATTCTGTGCATCCCATGGATTCCCATGCAGGATTGAGCCCCTCAAGCCCCAGACACGCCTGCCTGGCTTTCCCCTTTTAGAAAAATGCCCCCTAGAGATTCCACAGGGCATATCCCTGCAAGTGGAGAACCCCAGCTTTCTCTGCTTACAGAAATGCTCCATAGAGAACCTCTGAGCATTACTCTGCAAGTGGGGAACAGGTTGCCCACCATCCCACACAATTAATAGGTGGGGCAATGGGTGACAAGCATTTTGCCCAGTGAAGGAGATCTGGGCTGACGTGCACCCTGGCATAGCCCCTACCCTGGCACAGTCCCACCTCCCTGCAGCAAATATGCTAGGTTGAGCTCTGAGTTACTTGCCACTAAGGGCAGATTCCCCATTTATAGCTGATGTCATCTGTGGGACAAAAGTTAATTTGCTTAGGGGCTGGGCCCCTGGGTGATATGCACACGAGAGGGCACCCTATGTGTCAATCAAGGCCCTCTCCTAGATTTCTGCAGCACTTATACCAGACACCAAATGCAATTTTTCCTACACCCAACAGTGCTCCACACTGCTCTCATTTCCTCTGCTGGCAGCTCTTAGGCATGACCTATCTTACAGCAAGGGTGGAAAACCTCTCCAAGTCAGAGAAAAGCTCTCAGCTCCCCCACCCCTTGAGGCTCAGCCCTCTCCTCACTTCTGCCAAACTGTGCTTAAAGAGCCCGCACTGCCATGGAGCAGCTGTGTGCTAAGTGTTCCCTGCATCTTCCTCTGCAGGTACCCTTTCCCTCCCCTTCCTCTGTGTCACTTACCCCGCCCCAGTTCAGTGTCCTGGCCAAGTCGTTCCCAGTCCCCAGAGGCAGGATGGCTACAGGAGGAGGAGGGTTCAGGCGCAACTGGTCTAGGATGGAAAGGATCCAGCCCACCTGCTCAAACAAGGAAGGCACCTAAGAAGCGCCCTGAGATTACCAGCTGCTGTTAGCTGATCAACTCAAGAGAGCAGAAAGCATTAGGTATAGCGAGAGCAGAGAAGAACATGGAGGCTGGGGTCAACCCAGGCCCTCAGCCATTTCAGAAGCTTTCTACCCTACAGCTCGAGGAAAATCACAAGTCCCTCCATTTTAAGACATGTGTAGCCTGTCCCAAGCAGAACTGGTGTAACCCTGACCATGGCAGTAAGCCTCCCCAGTGTTTAGCATCACTCAACGCACTCCACCCCTCCCCAACTCCAGCACCTTCATAAGCAGTCATACTTGTATTGAGCCCTGCAACCCAGATTCCATCAGGGCTCCTGCAGTCAAGCATCCCAATGCTTCTGCTGCAAAGGGGGAACAAGTGCTTCTCAGTACCTAACCTGGAAGGCAGGGTTAATCTTCCAGAGACACAGGTAAAGCTTGGGAGGATCCTGGGCTCTGGCTGCCAAACTTTGCTTAGCTGAGGGTTATGTTTGCACCTGGCCAGGAGCTCCAGGGCTTGCATAAATGGCATTAAAAGGGAAGCAATGACAGCAGTCATCCTCCCCTCTGATATGGAGATATAGTCCTGAAAATTTATAGGTCCCAGTCCACCTTAAAGCTAGATGCTCAGATGGAGATGGAACATTGCATGCTGGAACCCGCATCTCTAATGACAGAGCTTCATGGAGATTCAGTGGGGACACATTGCCCAATTTTGGATTAGATTAGAGGTGTCAAGGCTATGCCCTGTGGGCTGGATACATCTCATGGAGCCACATCATCTGGCATGTGGGGCTACTGGGGAAGCCAGGGATTTGGGAACACGGTAAGTGGGGATGGAGCTTGGCACTTAATTTTGGCATATAAAGCCTCACTAGGAATGTTTTTCTGCAGCAGAGGGGGCAAGAGGTGGGTACGTTAATTCCTGCAGCTTGGGAATTTTCAGTGGTTAACACTGCTGCTACTTGCCCTGCTGCTGGAGGTAGGTCTGGATATGGCCCATGACCCCTATGGTCTAATCTACATCTAGCTTGGGACAAGATGGTGGGGGGGACAAAGGTGTTTGACACCCTTGGAAGGAGCTGCCACCTCTCCTGGCAGGGCAAGAGGCCTGGAGTAAGGCTAAATCCCCATGACAGCAGTGAAAGCTGAGAGCTTGGGACAACTCACCGTGCCATCCCCGCCACATGCCAGGATGCGGAGGTTGTGTACCTTCCGGTACATCTCCAGCCTGCAGGGGAGCAGAAAAGGGAGGGGGTCACTGACACACCAAAGAGCTGCAGTGGTCAGTCAGGCTCTTTCCAGAAGGAAAGCTTGCAACCCCATGTAAGTCTCCCAACTACCCATGTTGCACAGGGCACTCCACATGCAACACTGGGTTAACTTTCCCAGGCCCCCAACCACTGGGGTGACCATCTGTCCCAGTTAGAAATATGGGACATCTGGGACACTGCCTCCCTCACCCTCTCCTTCCTCTCTCCCTCCCAAGTTAGCAGCTTGCTGCAGGGAGAGGCAGAAGGTGGAGCAGCATGCTGCGACAGGCAGCCTACCCAGCTAACTTCCTGGGGAACCATGCCCATTTCCTTTCCCTGCCAGACTGTGCCCCATGCCCAGGACACGCTTTTTAATCTGTGCCTCATGCCTGGGACTGGCCTCTAAAATCCAGGACTGTCCCAGGAAAACTGGTAGATGATCACCCCACCAACCAGGGAAGCAGGTTAGCATCACTGCCTCCATTGTGCAGATGGGGAAACTGAGGCACAGGGAGGTGACAGGAATTGCCCTAGGTCACCCAATGAGCTGGGAATAAAACTCCAGTGTCCTGGCTCCCAGCCTTGTGCCTCAAGCATTAGACCAGGCTTCCTCTGAGAAGCATTAGAGTCTGAACTGGCTGGAAGATCAGACCCTAGAGACATTTCCTTGGCACTGAGCCTGCACTGGATGCCCAGTCACACAGTGTCCTGACAGGGGCCTTTCCCTAGAGCAGCCCCTTGCCAGCTGGGGAGGAAGGGCCCAAAGGCCCCTGGGAGAGATTCTGCAGGCAGTGGGGACAGGCCTGCTGAAGCTGGTACTCACGCTTCCTTAGGGCCACCCTGGCTGAGGTCGAAGACTTGCCGGGGGTTGAGATACCACATGAAGGACTGGATGATCTTGGCTCCCTAAGAGAATGACAAAGACCTGAGGGCTGAGGACATGAAGAACCCCATGGGGACTGTGGGGGAAATAGGAATCTGGAGTTCTGATGAGTCAGGCAAGGCCTGGCTGGGGGACAGGATGCCAGTGAGTAAGGCTGGCACCACACAGGCTGCTCCTGTTTTCACAGCTGAGATACCACCAAACACTGGCTTCTCAGCAGCTGGGACAGGATGGCTCCATGGGGCTGGATTCCCAGGGGCACACAGGACAAGGCTCTACCTGATTGCCTCCACTTTTGGGGTTCACAAACACCAGGAGGGGCTTCATGAGCGGTGCTGGCATGGGCTTGATAACGAAGGGTTTCCATCGTCCCTCCTGCAAGAGACACCAGAATCCCATTAACAAACTGGGGAAATACCAACTCCCACCTCTGACTGTCTCCCAGCCCTCAGGCACAGCAGCATCTAGATATGGGGCCCACAATGCACTATACCACTCCTGAGCCCAGTGGGATCCAGCTACAGGGCCCTGTACTGGTCTTTGTCCTTCCACAAAGATCCACCCCCATCTTTTTTCCCCTCTTCTTTTCAACACCCCTTGAGATCCCAGCCCTGCCATTCCAAATGCTGCTCATGTCCCAGCACCCTCCCTCCACTTCATGCTACCCAGCTCCATGTCACAGTTCACACCCTCCTCCATCTGGCACACTGCCTGCCCCAGTTCCCATTTCTGCCCTCAGCCTCCCCACTTCCCTTCAGTCCTGCCCATTTCCAGTCACTCTGGCTCTGCTCTCTGACCTCGGGTCCCTTTTTGCTGGATTTCCTCTTGAATGACGTCCTCTTCTTCTTCTTACTGGACTTCAATGGATTCTAGTGAAGAAAAAAAAAACCCACATCAAGAGCTGCTGGCCAAGCAGGAGTCAGTGAATTAAACAAGAGAGAGAATTCCATGGGAGAGACTCACCTGGGGGCGCCGGACACGCAGGATCCAGGTGGGTGGGACAACAACAGCAGCGTGAGCCCCCAGTGAGCAGGGTTCCTCGATGTGTTGCAGCATGAAGCATGACACCTTACTGTGGTACTGAGAGGGAGAAAGAACATGGCTGCCCAGTTGCTTGGGCATGGCCTGGAATGCCCTACTTTCAATGTATGCAGCACCTCCCGCTCCTGAAACAATGCAGGAGCCTATTCATGGCCAGGTTCCCAATAGGGAAGAAGGGGGCAGGGGACCTGGATGAGGTGAGCTCCCAACAACTGCAGCAATTCCAGCCTCTCTGACTAAGAGGCGCTGTAGGGAACAGGCCATGAGCACTGACAGAGCTCCTGGCTCGTGTTTGAAATCTGCATAGCAATCAGGGGTCACCAAAGCATATATGGGTGCAAATGGCAGGACTGTACTCACTGCTTGCTTACACCAGGAGCAGCTGATGGCCACAATCTCCTTGCTGTGGAAAGCAAACTTCTGCTGGAAACCCTGAGGAAGGACAGAGGAAGAGCTCTGAGCAGCTCTTGCAATGAGGGGCCTGCTGAAGGGGAACAGAGGCTTGACAGGAAGGGCAAATGCTAGCTGCAAGAGTCAGCCAGTGTGCCCAAGGTCTCAACCAGATGGCTTCCCAATGCCAGGGCCATGGACAGGGATGTCCAGTGTGCTCCAGTAGTTGTCCTTGGAAGCCAAGGAAGGCTGTAGCCCAGGAGTTTGGGGAGAAGTGGGGAGTCCCTTCAGAACCGACTGGATTCACTGGGAGTCCAAATCTGTATGGGAATCCCAAGACTGGATGAACCTGGGGAGCATAATCTATTGGGTGTTCACAACTGCTCCACTCCCTGCCACTGGCAGGCTCTGAAGGGAAAGAGTTAAGAGTAGTGGCTCTAAGGGAGCTGGAAGCTGTTCCCAGGAGGGACTGCGGGATTCTTTCCTATGGACCCTAGACAAGTCATCGTTCCCAGCATGTCTGACTTCAGCTCCTTTTCAGACTGAGGGAGAAGCAAGAGGCCTTCTTACCTTGCCACACTGCCGGCACTTCCCTTCCTGGCGTCTCCGGTGTACCCAGTGATGTCGGACAATTGCAGGCTAAAGGGAAAAGAAAGAGGCCAGGTTCAAAGAAAAGATGGGCTTCATCTCTCTCCTAAAGGCAAGCATGTTTTCTCTTCCAGGTTGGCTGATCTCGTACGGCGAGCTTTAAACTAGCCTCGCCGGGGGAGGGGG